AGAACTGCTGGCCTTAAGTGATCCTCTTGGCAAAGCCTCCCAAAGTGCTGGGATTACAGGCATAATCTACTTAGCCTGCTTGCAAAATCAGTTTTAGCCTCAACACAACTACCCAGGGGGGGTATGTGGTTTTATCCTCATTTTACTGATGAGGGAACCAAGGTTTGAAGAAGGTAAAAGACTAACCCAAGGCCATGCCAGACAGTATATATAGGAGTGGGATTCAGGCCCAGGTGTATAGAAGTGTATGTTGGGGGTATAGTCATCACCACCAACAACTAGTTGGAATTTATCCCTACCCTGAGGGTAAAGGAGCAGGAGGGAGTATAGGGGGAGCCATGTTCTGTGAGGTTGAGGAAGTGATGATCCAAGGGACTAGACATCTTAGCTACATTTTAGTTGGCTCAGAATGTCAGAGCTAGGTGACCTTAGAGAGCACCTTCAGCCCAACTTCCCACTGTACAGAAGAAAACAGGCCCCAGAGAAGTACACACCTTGGCCCTAGTTCAGAATCATCTGGGAACTGGTTTAAAATGCAGATTCTCAGGATCTGCATTTTAACAAGATCTCTAGGTGATATGTCTGCATGTTAAAGGCTGAGAAGCACAGAATTGCCTGCTTCATAGAGTTTTTGTGAGGATTAAATGTGCCAGGTGCTTTATCCAGTGCCCAGGCACTTGGTAAATGCTCAATAGATGTTAGTTCCGGCTTGGTGCTATGCTCAGTGGTTAGGGCACTGGCCACATGCATGGGGGCTGGTGGGTTCAAATCCGACCAGGGCCTGCTAAACAACAACAACAAAAATAGCCAGGTGTTGTGGCAGGCACCTGTAATCCCAGCTACTTGGGAGTCTGAGGCAAGAGAATCACTTAAGCCCAAAGAGTTTTTACTTCTTCTGAGGGTGACATAGTGAGACTCTGTCTCAAAAAATAAAATAAAATAAAAGATGTTAGTTCCTGCCATCATCATCCAGGGTGTCATCACCTCTACCTGACACTAGCCCTGACTGGATGGGGCATGGGGCAAGAAGAGGGAGTGTGACCCCTCAGGGTTCACTGCTGGAGGCCCTGAAACTTTCTGTGGCAGTGAAAGTGTTAAAGCCCCAGGAATGCCCAGCCCAGGCCAGGCTGGCAGAAGAGCTTCCCTCCCAGTCTCCCTCTGTCCCCACCCTAGACCCTGGGAGAGGGTAGAGAGGGTGACTAAAGACGGAGAGGTTGAGTAATCCTGGGACACCAACCAGGGATTGAGAAACAGAGAGACAGGAAATACTGTCAAGGCCGGCATAAGAAGGGGGAGAGCATAGGAGAGGGGAGGGCAGAGATGTGCCTGAGTCTTTCAGCCTCCGGACTCTCGGCACTCAGGTTTCTACAGCCTCTATTTCAAGTCCCAAATTGCTGGAGCTGAAGGCCTTCTGGGGGTGGGGACGAGAGACTGGGTGGGAGGATTAAGCCGCCCACTTCCTCCCATCCTTCCCCAGGCGGGCCCCGCCCTCAGCCCTTTTCATTCTGCTACGTTTCCCTGTTTTCCCTAATTAACTCCAAAAGAGAGCTGGGTCTGTGACGGCCTGCTCCCTCCCCTGCAGCCTCTTCCGCCTGGGAAGGGAAGGGGTGAGGGGAGGGAGCCCAGAACTGGCTTCAAAGAGGCCAGATTCCAGAGTGATTTAGGGGCTGGAGGGGAGACTGTAGAGACGCCAGAGAAAGAGAATGTGTGAGGGTAGGGGTGGTCTCATGTTGGTACTTGTTCACACACAGAGAACAAGCAGAAATGTGGGGGAAACAGAGAGAAGGGAGGCAGAAACAGAAAGATAGGAAAGGCTTGACCAAATAACTGGAAGCCTATAGCACCCAAGATCTCTGAGAAGCACCTGAATAGGGGGAAATGACAAAGCCAGCTCCAGCCCACCTTGTGGGGTACCACCAAGTTGGGCTGGATCAGGAGGGAAAGATGTGGAAATCCAGAGTGTAATAGGAAGCGACTGATACTAGATTTTCTGCCGGGCCAGCTATGCCGGTAAGCTAATCCAAGGCCCTACCTTGCTCCAGCCTCAGTTTCCCTTCAAATCTACAAATCTGAGAGGAAAAAGACCATGGAATCAGTTCTCTAATGGTTCTTCCCTCTGCACCCCACTCCCTACATGACCCACAATGGGCAATGACCCAGGTTTTCTCTTGGTCCAAGGAGAAACAGATTTAGAAAAGCAGCAAGAACCTGGGCATCCTCTGGTCTGGAGGAGATAGGGATGAAGCAACACTTCTCTATTGTGCTAATCTCTACTCAGGGAAACCAAGCTCCCAGCTCCATTACCTCCTCCACCCCTATCACCCCAGCCCAGGGCTGAAGCAGCATCTCTAGAGTAGCCCAGGAATGTGGGGTAAGTTTGACCAGAGCTGGCTGAGCTGCAAACCACAGCCTCCTTGAGAGCATACCTCCCCTCAGTGTTTATTTTAAAAGCCTCCCAAGTGTCTGCTGGCTGTTGCTCTCCTTCTTACACGCCCTCAGCAGCCCCACAGGCCTGGCTGGGCTGGACTCCAGGAACCTCTTTGGTTCCAGGGCTAAGAAGGAGGTGTGAAAGTGAGCATGGCCTGACCCTCCACCTCCACCCCCAGGGTCTACTCCCCAGGACCCAGGCTTAGACCCAGGTCAGGCCCTGTGTGGGTCAGAGGGGTGGAGTCCTGACAAGAGAGGGGAGCCAGCATCATGACCCCTGCTCCTTGGGGACCTGCTAGAGGCCATAAATACTGTTCCATTTCTGTTTTTAACATCTGGATTTAGGGTAAAAAGCCTTTTTCCTGGCCTTAGGGCACAAGACCACAATAGCTAAATATACCTGTTTACTTCCCTCAAGAGCCCCACTTGGCATCTCCCCAGACTGGGCCACCTGCCTCTTTCATATCCAGTATCTGGCCTCTCTAGAATCATAACCTTGCCAAACCTGGAACAGCTCTGCCCTTGGAGGCTAGCAGCCCTGCCTCTTCTCTCTTCCTCTGGCCTTTAATCAGCCACCACAAGCATGGCACCACTTAACCTACAGATATCCCAGGTGGGGTTGTCAGGTTAGCAAATAAAAATACAAGGTGCCCAGTTAAATTTGAATTTCAGGTAAATGATGAGTAATTCTTTTTATTACAGTATGTCTCATGCAACATTTGAAACCTACTTATGCTAAAATAGTACTTGCTATTTATCTGACATTAAAACTTAAAGTCAGGAATCCTGTATTTTATCTGGTAACCCTAATCTGGGAGAATAATGCAGGACATTAAGAGTTCAGTTCTTAGACCTAGACAGCTAAAAGGGAAACTGAGGCAAGATCTATTTTACTGTAAAAGAAAGGGCATGAAATTGGGGGTGGAGCTGGGTTAGAATTCTAGCTCTTCAGCTCAAAACTGGGGACCCTGGGACAAGTGACTTCTCAGTTTTCTCATCTGTCAAATGTTAAGTAATCAGACCTGCCTAGGAGAGCTGTTAAGAGGATTAACTGACATGAGGCCCATAAAGTGTGTTTAGCATGTGCCCAGGCGTGATTATAGTGATTATTGTGATTTACCTTGAGAGCCAGGCTCTCAGTTCACTATCTAATGCCAGTGCCTTAATCCTCTTCCAGCCTCCCTATAAAACCAGGATTTGCTGCTCCAGAAAACAGTCCTTATTAGTAGGCATTATTGTAATTCTGCCTTTCACTCTTATAGGTCAGTAAGATAATAATTATCCAATTATATACACTATGTATTGTGCTCTTACTCTCTGCCAATCCTGGGATGATGGCCTTACATTTGGGCCTCACAATACCATCATGAGCTCTGTTAAATATTATGCCCATTTCATAGTAAGTGAAATTGAGGCCTACGGGACTTATTAACTTAGGTAAGAACTCATAGCTAACTGGTAGCACCAGGATTTGAGTCCAAACTGGCCTGCCTCCAAAGCCTGTGTTTTTCAGTAGTACTAGTGATAATATTCTGCTCCTGCTGCTCAGGACCCTTGTCACTCCTCAGGGACAGCAACCATTGGCTGACTTTTTATTATATGGGAGGCTCTTTGTTAAACTTGTGGGAAAACCAAAATCCTGCTGTAGAGTTAGGGGCAGCAAAAAGAGAAGATGTCCCACATAACCAGAGAGTATTCTCTCTCCTGGAAACATCCACACCCACTTTCATTGTGTGAAAGCCTGTATGTGCCAGGCCCAGTACTCTAGGCTCTATGGTATCATCTCATTTAGTCTTTGTAACAGTCCTTTAGGGGTGCTGTCCCCATTTTCTGTGTTGAGGAAACTGAGGTTTTGAGAGATTGAACAAATTGATCAAAGGCACAGGATAGTAAGTAGCACAGCCAAGACCTCACCTATGCTGTCCTCTTCCAAAGCTAGACTTTTAACCATTACTCTCTCTATCTCCTCATGGCTCTTTACTTGTTCACTCCACTATAGGCATCCCATCACCTCTAAGCCCTCTGCCGTTCCTTAACCGAACCAGGCTTTATGTCCCGGAATCATAGGTCCTCTCATAACAGGTGGAAGATCCGGAGAAATTCTGTAGGTTGTATCCAGTCTCCAGGCATAGTGGCTATGGGATGCATCCCAGAATCCCACCTCTCCCATCCCACACATTGGCATCACTTACCACTGGCAGAGGCCAAAATCATGGCTTGCAGCATCTCTGTGTCAAACTGGTTGTTGGGCCAGGTGCCGGTGTCATCGCCATTTTGGGAGCTGAGGAGAGAGTGGGGTGGTAAGCACAGTCTCCCAAGTTAGCACAGCTCATGCCTCTCCTGTGCTCTCCCAGGGCTCCCAAATCTAGCCCTTCCCCATGCCCCAAACCTGCTCCTTTCAGCAAAGTAGGACGTGCTTATATAATCCTTCAAAAGCCAGATCCCCATAAGTCATTCCCCCAAATTAGCTCTCTACTAACTCAGATCTTTTTTTTCTTTTTGAGACAGAATATCACTCTATCACTCTAAGTAGAGTGCAGTGGTGTCATCATAGCTCACTGCAACCTCAAAGTCCTGGGCTCAAGCAATTATCTTGTCTTAGCCTCCCCAGTGGATGGGATTATAGGTATGTACCACCATAGTGATAATTACCATATATATATATATTTTTTGAGACAGAGTCTCACTTAATTGCCCTCGGTAGAGTGCCATGGCATCATGGCTCACAACAATCTCAGACTCTTGGGTTCAAGTGATTCTCTTGCCTCAGCCTCTCGTGTAGCTGGGTCTATGGGTACCTGCCACAACTCCCGGCTAGTTTTTTAGAGACAGGGTTTCTAACTCCTGAGCTCAAGCAGGAGTTTGGCCTCTCAGAGTTTTTAATTAATTTTCAAAAACTAAAATTACTTCAGTTTGCTATAGGAGGGGGAAATAGCCCTGGCACACACACAATCTGCCCATTAGATAATTGTGTGCACCATCTGGCACAGAGAAGTTCCTCAATAAATAGTTGTTGTCCGAATGAACAGGAAAAGGCTAGTGAAGAGAGTTAAGTCATTCTGAGATAATAAACATTTGGGATCATAGGAAGGGCTGAAGGGCAAGCCTTTAAGGTATGGAAGTGTTTGGGGGGGGCACTCTCACACATCTTGATAACTACAACCAAGAACTTTACAATTTTTCCAAGGTCTGTTCCTGCCTTTGATTTCTCCTGATCTGGGATTCCACATCCCCAAGTATCTGGAATCAGTCTAAGATTCAGAACAGAGTACACACCTGCTGTGTGTGAGTTCTACGCTGTCATAGCAAACATAAAGTTAGGTGTGGAAGGGAAAGTGGGAATTGCATTCCTCCTTCCCCAAAGTGAGAAGAGTTGGCAATCTGTGTCCATTTGTTCAGCAAATATTTGTTGAGTAATTACTAGGTACCAGACACAGATCAGGTGCTGGGGCTATAGCTGTGGACATGACAGAAAGTCTTTATGGTGCTCATGGTGCACACTGACAGGCTGACATTAAATATTAACAGTAACACAATAAATTAATAGCAATTGTGACAAGTGCCATGGAAGCAAAGAGCAGGAGATAAAGATGGTGTGACAGGAGTCCTGGTTGGGGTTAAGGAGTTCAGTTAGCTAGGCTTCCCCAGGAAAAGACAGTAAATTTAAATCTAGGCAAAACAACAACAACAACAACAACAAAAACTGAAGAAATTGTCCAGATGATTTGCAGGAGAATGCTAGCAAATAAATGTAGAAAGAATGACAAAAATAATCTCCACTTCATAACCACCAATGTAAAAACAGAGCCAGGCAATGATCATCAGTAAATACCAAAATTGAATAAAGGGTTGCCACATGTCTGAAAGTATTATCCTGTGATTACTTATTAATTACAAATGTTTAAAAATAGCTTTATAAAGGGCTGGGTGTGGTGGCTCACGTCTATAATCCTAGCACTCTGAGAGGCCCAGGCAGGTAGATTACTTGAGCTCAGGAGTTCAGCCTGAGCAAGAGTGAGACCCTATCTCTAAAAATAGCCAGGCATTGTGGTGAGTGTCCATAGTCCCAGCTACTAGGGAGGCTAAGGCAGAAGGATTACTTGTGTCCAAGAGTTTTAAGTTGCTGTGAGCTATGATGCCACGACACTTTACCGAGGGCAGCAAAGTTAGACCTTGTCTCAAAAAAAAAAAATATATATATATACACACACACATATATATATACATATATATGTGATGGAGAGATTTGGGGCACTGCTTTCACCATATGAACAAATTTAGCATCATTGATAAGGGGACAAACCAATGTGAAATGATTCCTGATGTGAGGCAGTGGAGAAGTACACAGTATCACCCATGGAGTATTCTTACCAAGGCAGTTTTACCTGACTCTACCCATGAGAAAATAATCAGCAAATCTAGATTGTGGGACATTAAAAAAGACATTGGCCTGGACTCTTTAAAAAATATCTATGTCATAAAGGAAAAAAAAGGTAGGGGGAGGCTGTTCTAAGATTAAAGGAGAGGAAAGAGACATGGAAACCAAATGCAATTCATGTTTCTTTGATTGAATCCTGGGTTAAGAAACAACAACAAACAAAACACGTGAAAATGACAGACTAGGAATATTAATGAAAATCTGCTAGTATTATATTAATGTTAAATTCCTCAAATGTGATAATTTCCTTGTAGCTATATAAGAGAATGTTAGTGTTCTTAGGAGACATATACTGAAATATTTCAAATGTTAGGATGTCCGCAACTCACTTTCAAATGGTTCAGAAAAAAATGTGTGTGTGGGCACGTGTGAGTAGAGACAAGGAGAAAACATATTAATAATTAGTAAGTCCTGTAGAAAGAATAAAGAGTATGTATTAAAATGTTTATTATAGTATTCTTTCCACTTTTTTCTAGGTTTGAAACATTTCAAAACAAAAAGTTGAGGTGTAAAATTAAGTTACCCAGGAGAGGTGTACATAGTGGTGTGGGGAAAGTGTTCCAAGTAGAGGGAGTAGCCCACGCCTCTGAGCCTGGGGGTACTTGAATTCAAAGGACTAAGAGAAAGTCAGTATGGCTGCCATAGGGGAGTGGTGATTTTGGTCTTGGAAGCTTTTGAAGTGTTTAAGAAGGGTTGGCATGATTGGACTTAAGTATTTAAAGATTGCTCTTGCTTGTGTGAAAAGACCAAGGGTGGGAGTTTCTCTGGGAGAGAACAGGAACCCAGTGATGGGGCCCCAGCTGCCTCTGTCTCCATGGATATCCAGGAGTCTTGACCTTCAGCCTGACTATGCTCTCTGCTGGGCCCAGGCAGGGGGTCTCAGGTCCAGGAGAAGGGGCCTAAAAGGGATGAAGTGGCAAGAGCAGACAGGGAGGAGAGCTGAGGGTTTTGGAGGAGACAACAGGATCAGGTGCCACAGGTCAGGAGGGTGCCCTGTGAAGGTGGGCAGTGGTGTTGAGGGAATGATGGTGAGTGGACAGGTAGAATCAGGAAGGGCTAGACATCAAAGAGGAGTGCTGGGAAATGGCTGACGGCCAGAGGTCAAACAGGTGAGCAGGCTGCCAGCTCTTTGAAGTTAGGTAAGAGGTGAGTGAAGGAGGAAAGACTTCTTTCTTAACCATTTACTGAATGTCCTCTAATGTCTCTAGTGCCCTATTCTCTTGGTATTAGGCTGACTGGCTAATACATTTATTGGGTATTTCCATTGTAGAACCAATCTGTAGATCAGTGTTATGATTATCTTTATTTTTCAGCAGATGAAATCAGGGCTCAAAGAGGTCAAGAGACTTTTCCAAAGTCACACAGCTGGTAACTGGCAGAGCTGCAACCTGAAAGTTGGCCTAACATTACTCAAAAGTCCATGATCTTACACATAAAAACATACTGGGTTTCAGCAGGGAGGTCCTGGAGCCCCAGCAGTCCCTTATCTCTATTGGGGGTGGTGGTGACTTTTCCAGGATTTAGGAAATAGTGAAAAGTAAAAATGGAAGTTATGAACATTTAATTGATCATTTTCAAAGCACCCACTATGTGTCAGTGCCTGTGATAGGCCCTAGAATTTAAGAGATGATAAGAGACTTTCAACCAAGTATAAAATGTGGACTTATTAAAGAATCCTCTGCCAAAGACAGAGAAGACCCAGATGAAATTATATGATGTTTGAGGTTTGCTTCAAAATAATCCAAGAGGGATGTGAGGTTGGGGATGTAAGTGAAGCAAGATAGGACATCAGGTGAGGCTGGATAGTGGGATTATAAAGGTTCATTATATTATTCCCTCTATATATTTGAGATCACAAAGAAAAAGTTGGTGGTTCTCCCTAGATTGTAAAATTATAGGTGGTTTTTCTTTAAAGATATTTTTCTCCTTTTCTTCCTTTTTTTCTTGCTTCCCTCCTTCCTTCCTTTCTTTGTTTCTTTTGAGCAGGAGACAGGGTTTCACTCTGCTGTCTGGGCCAGAGTGCAGTGGCATCATCATAGCTCACTGCAACCTCAAACTCCCTCAAGTGATCCTCTTACTTCAGCCTTCTAAGAAGCTGAGACTACAGGCATGCACCACCAAACCTGGCTAATTTTTAAATTTTTTTCTGTGGAGTCAGTCTTGCTATATTGCTCAGGTTAGTCTCTAACTCCCGGCCTCAAGTGATCCTCCCACTTTGGCCTCCTAAAGTGCTAGGATTACAGGAATGAGTCATTGCACCTGGCCTATTTCTCATGTTTCTATAATGAGCATTTATTATTTTATAAGCAGAAAAAAATTAGTTGCTTTTTGTTTGTTTGTTGACTGATTGTCCAAACTGAGAGAGAACAGGATAGTTTTTCTCAGAGAAGGAAGAATGGAAAGGGATCCAGAGCTGGGAAATGGAAATGTGGAGCCATCAGAGGAGAATAGGCTGGGGACCAGGCAAAGCCAAATGGAGACTCTCTCCTCCAAGCAGATACTTAGAACAGCTGCAGGGTGGGGCCTGGGTTACAGCCTGAGAAGGGAGAAATGGGTTGTTGGGCTCAGAGCTTGGGACAACAGCTGCTAGAATCAGAAGCCAAAAGGATGACCTGAGAAGGGATAGTGATGGGGAGGAGGAGCATGTGGCAGGTGGGGACTTCAGAAAGTGAGTCATTTCTAGTCCATGTGACCCATGGCTTGAACTTGAACCAGGTTTACTGAAGAACTCAACACTACCTCTGCTGTGAATCTGGTGTGCCTGAGCAGACTAGGCTGGAGGTCAGGAACAAGATGTTAGGGAGGAAAGTGGGGCAGAAAAGCAGTGGAGGGCTGGAACTAGGCTTAGACTGAATAAGAGAAATCTCCCCGTTTTATCTCCTCTGTCCAATTTACTCATCAAATGGCAGCAAAGTGAAAACTCTACCACTCTGTTGATCTTGAGAAGCCTCACCACAGGGCTTTTGCATATGCTCTTCCCTCCATCTGGAATATGCTTCTTTCTTTTCTTATGGTGGTTAATTTGGGCTTGGTGCCTGTAGCTCAAGCAGCTAGAGCACCAGCCACACATATACCGGAGCTAGTGGGTTTGAATCCAGCCCGGGCCTGCCAAACAACAATGACAAGTGCAACCAAAGAATAGCCAGGCGTTGTGACAGGTGCTTGTAGTCCCAGCCACTTAGGAGGCTGACGCAAAAGAATCACTTAAGCCCAAGAGTTTGAGGTTGCTGTGAGCTGTGATGCCATGGCACTCTACCCAGGGCGACAACTTGAGACTCTGTCTCAAAACAAAACAAAACAAAACAAAAAAGGTGGTTAATCGTATTCCTCCTTCATATGTCAGCACAACCTCATTTTCTTCTGGACGTCCTCCTATTCCATGATTAGATCAAATCCCTATTATATGCTCTCACCATCAGGCACTGCTCTTCATAGCTCTCACATTTATTTTTGTGATAATTTGCTTAATATTTGTCTCCATCAACACACTATAAACTCCTTGAGGGCAGGGACTGTATCTATTTTATATCTCCCACCTCTAGTACATTGCCTGGCCTGCAGAAGGTACTTACTAACCATTTGTTGAAGGAAGAAAGAAGGGAAGTTGAATTTGCTGGATTGGTCCCTAGTGCCTAATTCATCTTGGCCACTTTAGGGCTGCTGAAACAATTATTAGTCCCATCACCCACAAGTTAACTGAGGAAGCAAGGGGTGGGGGAAGGGAGAGAACATATGTACACTCCTGAGCCGCCTTCTCCATATCTCCAAGAGCTGCATCCCATATGTATTCCAGGCCACTAAGCCTCTCATTTAATGGAAAAAGACTTGAGGTGGGGGTAAGGTGCTCATGTCAGAGAGTATGACAGGAAATTAGTGGGGCTTCCAGGTTCAAAGATGAATTCTGTAGGGAATTATGCTTCAGGGTGCCTGGGATGGGAGTGGGTAGAGAGAAAATAAATTCTCTATGAGGATGTCTCATAGCCTCAGCTTAAATGTCACTTCCTCCTAGAAGCCTTCCCTGTTCCCCTTTCTGTGACACTTACATTGCCCTCTTCGTCTCAGAACTTACTATGATTTGTAACAAGTTTGTTTTGTTTTGTTTTTTCAGTGTGATTTATTGTCAATTTTCTGTCTCCTCTCCTGGCCTGAAAGCCTATGAGTTTGGAGATCATATCTGTTTGTTCAATCGTTTAGCTTGGTGTTTCTACTTCTAGCCTGTTCATAGTAGATGCTCAATAGATATTTGTTGAATGAGTGAGTACGTGAATGATTGAATGAATAACCTATGGGAATGCCATCAAGACCAGCAGGGAGAAGGGAGATAGCTGAGGTCAAAAGAGGGCAGGCCAGCCAGGTGCTCATACTGGTAATGGCAGCACTTCGGGAGACCAAGAAAGGAAGACATCTTGAGTCTAGACCCTATCTCTATAAAAAATAAAAAAAATTAGCTGGGCATGGTGGCCCACACCTGTAGTCCTAGCTACTCAGGAGGCTGAGGTCAGAGGATAGAGGACTAAGGATGGGAGGATTGCTTGAGTCCAGGAGTTTGAGGCCACAGTGAGCTGTGATCAAGCCACTATACCCCAGAGTGAGACCCTGTCCTTATCTCTTAAAAAGAAAATAAAAGTAGCAGAAAGAGCATGCCTTCTGGTTTACTGCTTTTTTAAGGAGCTGTCTAGGAAGTGCTTAGAATTCCTAAAACCAGTGACAGGACTATGCATGCCCAGGAGCTGGAATCTCTCCCTTACATATCAAGGTCTCCTAGGCAGCAAGGATTTGGTTGTTGGGAAAAGGAAGAGAAAGCCCATCAGCTCAGCATCTGTAGCATCTTGGCAAATGTGGCAGCAAGTACGTGACCATGGGGGAGGCAAGAGAAGGTAGCTCATGCTCCTGCCTTTCTCCCTGGGCTCCTAGGCTCTTGGACTTCTCCAGGCTGGTGACATCGAACAGGGAAGCCTGGCCCAGAGCCCAGCTCACTCTCCTCAGACCAACTGAAGGTCTTTCCGCTGCAAGTCACCCCCCTTCCACCCTCAGGGGGTTCCTGTCTCAGCAAGAATTCATACCAGATTGAAATGAGCAGCTGGGGCTGTCTGGATGGGAGGGTGTGTGGTGGAGGGCAGTGATCAAAGGCTCTGTGTGTGAGGGGGCAGGGAGAGGGAGAGAGTATGGGCCCCCCTCCCGCCTGTGTCTGCTGGCTTGCCCATAAGTACAAAGAATGAGAGATAGAGAGGCTCAGAGAAAAAGACAGAATAAAAGAGAGATAGAGAAAGAGTAACAGAAAAAGATACTGAGAAAGGCAGAAAAAGACAAATAGATATACAGAGACTGGAGACAGAACAGAAAGGCAGTAGGAAATGGTGAAAGAAGAAGAAACAGAAAAGAGGTCCAGGACAAGAACAGGGAGACAGAGACAGAAAAAGAGACTGTCTCTTCCTTAAGGAAGAGTCACATTTAATCATTCGTTCCACATGGCTGGCACAGATCAAGTACACAAAAATGGTAGGAACTGAGATGAAGCAAAAAGACAGAAACTGAGAAGGAGAGGGAGATGGCAAACTGAGATAGAGACTGAGGTGGAAGAGTGGCAGGGATAAAGATCTGAGAAAGGGCAGGACAAGTGCAGGGGCCAGGGCAGAGGACAGGAAGACCCTACTCTGGCCCTCTCCAGGGCAGCATTCCCCTGGCCGTCCAGTCTCCAGCTGTGCGGCCTCTACTTTCCTTGCAGCATAAGGAGCTCCCCATCCCTTGGCTCTTTCTGGCATAGGCTCTGACTGCTGGCAGCTTCTTCCTCTTCCTCCTCTGGTCATTCCTTTGCCTGAACCCCAGGTTAGGATAGAGCCCAGCTCAACTCAGAGGAGAGGGAATAGGACGTAGATGTGTATAAAAAGCCTCCCCTCTACCCCCAAAGACCAGCTTAAGACCACCCTTTGGTCCTAGAGAGCCCTTAGGAGATAGAAAAATGTGGAGGTGTGGGGGGAGGAGGGTAGAGAGGCAAAAACGTGGATAAAGCTGTCAGAATAGTCAGGGTATATGCCTCTTCCTTCTGGGGTCTGTGTGCCAGCCCCCAATACACCAAGACCCCCCTGAAATCTTGAACTGAGGGAGGAAGCCATTTGTAGCAAATGCTGAACCCTCCCCCCACCTCCTCCCACATCATCACTGAGAAAATGCTGCAGAAAAGAGGGTGGGCTGGAGAATCAGTCACCTACCCGCTGGTGCCAGGTCTCTGGGCCTGAGAGAAACGCCAATCCGTGTTGGGCGGGGCTTGCTGTGGAGAAAACAGAGGGAGAGGGGCTGAGTACCCACAGAGAAGTCAGAATGTCACCCGAACCCCAGGGGATGGGCCCAGAGAGGAGGAGGGGAGAGGGCACAGAGAAGAAAATAGGATATGATGGGGGAGGGGTAGGCTCATCTCCAGAGCTGAAATATACCTCAAGTCTCAGAGGTCAGAGGTACCAATAACAAGGAAATAAATGTCATTTGACCATAGTGAGCAAACACAGATTTCTTACAGATTTCTTTGCTAAAAAACAAAAACAACAAAAAAAAACAAACCCCCCCAACCCTAAACCCTTCCCCCCTGCCCCTAGAGATAGAACTTCTGAGCCAAAATTCAAGGGCTGAAAGTGTCTTCTGTGAAACCAAAAAAAAAAAAGAGGTGCAGAGAAGGCCCCTAAAAGTGACAGAGAAGGCTTTTAAATGAGAATTCCACCAGCCCTAGAATGAATTTATTCAACTCCTCAGCTGGGAACAAAGCATCCTCTGCAGCAAGATGGCTGCTGCTCCTGGTAACCCTTTCCATACCAGGTTGTACAGTGACACATTCAGAGGGACACCTCTCTCAGGCCTTTGGCCCTGGAGGATCTCTTCCCACAACTAAATACATTATTAATTTAGGAGTCATGCCAGACTGGCCTTTTGCAAGGCATCCAAACCCGGGGACACTTCTCACCCACCCCAGAACTCTATGCCAGACAATGGTCTGTAACTAAGAACGAGAGAACAAGGCTTCTCTGTCTGAGACAGAAAATGCTGAGATGGAGGAGGGAGAGTCAAGCTCCCACAGCCTCTAAGCATAGCTAACTAGTCTCCAGGGATCCCAGGGGACTGCTCTATAGCCTTATTCCACCTGGCTAAAGGCATGGGGCTCTATCACATCACACACACTGCTCATGGAGCACTCCTAGAGCCATCTCCTCAGTTCTTAGGTGTGCTGGCAGGAAATGCTCACACTTTCCCAGGAGCAAAGAGTGTGAGCATGTCAGATTACACTGGGGGAGTGGAAGACCTAGGAGTGCCAGTGACTCACCTTAAGGCTCATAGAGTGCAGTGAGTCACTAGCACAATTCTAGAGAATGCCATGGAGAAGGGCCCAGGAATGTCCAGTCCTCAGCACCTGAATTCTTTTTTTTTTTTTTTTTTTTTGAAGACATAGGGTCTTACTTTGTCACCCTTGGTAGAGTGCCATGGCTCCTAGCTCACAGCAACCTCAAACTTTTGGGCTCAAGCAATTCTCTTGCCTCAGCTTCCTGAGTAGCTGGGACTACTGGTGCCAGCTACAATGCCCAGCTATTTTTAGAGACAGGGCCTCACTCTTGTTCAGGCTGGTCTGGAACTCCTGAGCTCAAGTAATCCACCCACCTCAGCCTCCCAGGTGCTCGGATTAAAGGTATGAGCCACCAATCCTGGCCCTAGCGCCTGTATGCTTAGACACAGGAGAACTACATGGGGATGCAGGTGGTACGAATGGAGGAAAAGGAGTTAAACATAACTCCAACCTGCATAAGGACAACAGGTCCAAGTTTGTTCAGTGAGGGCTGCTCAGGGAAGAAGACCCCCTAAGATTTTCTGATGTCATGTTTTAAAAGGGCAAGAACCCACCTATGTCCCATCCCAGCAGAGGCAAACCCTCTCTCCTGTCCTCAAGCTTTGTGAAGTTCCAAGTGCTAAGTGATTAAAAGCACCAATTCTGGAGTTCCTCTTTCTCTGTCACTTGCTCTATGAACTTAGACAAGTCACTTGACCTCCGCAAAACTGTTATAAGATGAAGATGTTAGTGCCTATCCAACAACAGTGGTAGGAAGAGCAAATGAGATGATGTGGTTCTCAGAGGTGTACACTAAGGCTTTCTCAATCAGCTATGGAAACCATCCGGGAGTGTTTCAAACTGTAATCTTGATTCAATAGGGGTAGAGCTAGGCATAGATATCTTTTGAATAAAAGCTCCTGGAGTTGTCAAAACTTGTATTTTTTACAATTATAGTTTCCCCACATATGAGGACACCTTGGCATCTGGCAGGGCAGTGGCTTTCCATCTACCAGAGGGGAAAGAACCTGTCAGAGTCTCAAATACTTTGATAACCTCCAAAGCCCTGACCCTAGATCACTGGGCACATAGAGGTCGGCGGAAGCCAAAACCTTGTCTCTCAGCATCCAGAGCCCAGGGACTACAGGCTCCTACTTGCCCAGGAGGAAGGGGCTGCTGATGCCCCTGAAAGTCGCAGGCCTTCATTCCTATAGAGGTAGAGAGGCCCGCTCACTCGCTCAAGAGTGAGCTCCGTCACACCTTAGGCTAAAGGACAGCTCAGCCTGCCTGAAGCTTCTGGACTGAGGGACCGCCACCCTATACACAGAGTTAGAACAGCGGGACTATGGCTCAGAGTCCCACCTGTCCCTAGATCACCAAGAGTTGCACCAGCGCTGTCAGCGGCTTGGGCACTGCTCAGTCCCGCCCCCAGGTCCCGGCATGGGTGGGAGGAGACTTAAGGGTCCTAGCCTGGTGGTACTAGGTCACCTCGACCTGGGACCTTTACTAGGGCGCGCACCATCTGCAGTGAACGCCTCTGAGGCAGGCGGAGGAGGGCGGTGAGTGGGCCGAGGACAGTCAGTGTGAACCTGGCAGCTAACGAGTGGCAGTGAAAGCTAGTGTACGTGTAAGGCCAAGTGGGGAGGGTGCGTGTGCGCGCGCGTTGGTGAGGCGTGGCAAGCCGGTGCACCGGGTGTGGCGCATGGGTGTGTTCTGCAGGGAGGAAACGCTTGAGCCCTGAACACGCACCTAAGGAAGTCCAGACGACAGATGCGGTTGGATAATGCGGGGGTAGGGAGGACTGAGGATAATAGCAAAATTAACAGATTGAAGGAGTGGGGAGAACGCGAAGAGGAAAACCAAGACCGGCAGAAAGTGCAGGAGCCTAGGAGGCTGGCTGCTGAGGTGGAACTGTGACTACCTCCACCTCCGCCCCCCAGCACCGCGGAAATTGCCAGAAATCACCAGAAGCTGGGGTGGGGGACCCCAGCCTTTTCTGAATGTGGAGGAAGGGATCGGTCCCACCTCCTCTCTCCCACAATCGCTACCACCTCGCAGTACTTGGAGCCCCATCCCCGCCTCAGCCACTCCTCTGGTTTCTCGCGATCAGTCCAATGGTCCCGAGCACAGACAGCTCGAGAGGTGTGGACACAAGTTCAGAGTCCCTTATGATAACCGGTGGCTTCTCCCAAGGGTCGCCCGGGGAGGCACCGAGCCCTCACCTGGCTCGGCTCCCGCAGCGTATTAGAGCGGGACCGGAAGGCGTCAGGCTCCAGCGCCAGAGCTGAGGGCTGCTGAACGCTGAGGGGCCTTAGAAAAGTGAAGTCACTGCCGTCCGAAGCTGGTGAAAAGCACGTCCTGTAGCAATGGCTGCGTGAGTCTGTGGGCCGCAGCGTCACCTCCATGTACTTGAGAGTGCCATCTGAGCTAACTTGCAGGTTGGGGCTGGACTGTTTATAGAAGTCTGGGGAGGGAGAGTCCTGGCGTCCACAGCACTGGCCCCCACCCCCATCCCCATCTGCATGCCCCTGAAGGCATTTAGCTGACAGAAAGGTGAAAGTGACTAAAGATAAGAGACTGACAGTTGCTAGAGCCACAATGAGGTAAAGGGTAAGGTCTGAACGCTCCGGAGGTTGTGTGAGGAAGTCACTGGATTTGGGCATTTCCTCCAGGTCCTCATCCTCTAGCACCAGCAGCACTGTGGCTGTAGAGGAGAGTGAAGGGTCACCATTGTCCCTCACCAGGACCACCACCTGCTGGGTGTCAGAGTCATCCTCTAGTAAGGCCCGGGCTGTGCGCACCTCCCCAGTGTGTGTAGAAACGAGGAACAGTCCGGGGGCTGTGGACTGTGGCAACAAGGAATAGGAGAGCCACGCATTGTGGCCTGCATCAGCATCCACGGCTGTCACCTTGGTGACCAAGGAGCCAGGAGGAGCAGAGCGAGGGAGACGCTGGGGGGCTGAGTGTTCCCGGCCTGGCCGTGGGTGCAACACTGCTGGGGCATTATCATTCTGGTCCAGGACAAACACATGCAGAGATGTGTTGGCATGCAATGGGGGGGAGCCAGAGTCTCGAACCCCCACCACAATCTGTAGCATCTGTAGTAATTCATAGTCAAAGGTACGCTGGGCAAAGACCCTTCCATCCTCAGGGTTGACATACACAAAGGAGGAGGCTGGGGCTCCCTGGATCTGACTTCCTACAATGGAGTAGGTGAGCCGGGCATTATCCCCAGTGTCTGCATCAGAGGCAGACACAGTGCAGAGAAGGGAGCCTGGAGGCCGGTTTTCTGGGATGTAAGCAGTGTAGAGGTGGTGGGTGAAGTGGGGTGCATTGTCATTAACATCTGAAATGTTGAGCCTGATGATGAGATGTTTGTGCAAGGGAGGTGAGCCAGCATCACTGGCCAGCAGCTCGATGATATAATGGGATGTGGCCTCCCGGTCCAAGGGCTGGCTGGTTAGTAGAGAGTAGTGGTTCTCAGAAGGCTTAATCTGAAACGGCAGGTCTGGAGAGATATCAAGGCTCACTTCACCATTTTTACCTGAGTCTCGGTCCCGCACATTAAACAACCCTACTACTGTGCCCACTGGTGTGCTCTCCAGGACAGGGTTGACCAAAGAGGCCAGTAGCACCTCTGGGGCATTGTCATTGGCATCCCCCACATCCACTTGAATCACACAGTGGCCCTCCATGGCTGGCTGTCCCTGGTCACGGGCTCTTGCATGAATTTCATAGAAATTTGACTCCTCAAAGTCTACTGGACCCAACACATGGATCGCTCCACTGCTAGGGTCTAGACTAAAGAGATTCCGCACTGCTTCGGATGTATGGTCTCCAAAAGAGTAGTCTAGGTGGCCATTTGTGCCCTCATCTGGATCAGTGGCATTGAGGCGGAGCAGCAATGTACCCATGGGTGCATTCTCTGGGAGTCCCACACGTAGAACTGAGTGCTGGAAGGT